AACAGGATCTGGGAAGACAACGTACTCAGGAAGCAGCTCACAGCCCACAGCTCCCTTTGGTGACAGCCCAAGGGACTGACCCAGCTGCCAGCCCTGGGCAAGAGAAGCATCCAAGCACCATTTCAACAGCATTCCCCATGTCTGGAAGTGTTCAAGCACAAGCTGGATGGGGCTTGCAGCTGCCTGGTCCAGTGGAAAGTGTGGAAAGGGGCAGAACAAGCTCCCTAAGAGCCAACCCAAACCATTCCACAACTCCTCGCTTCCCACAAGGCACAACACCCAACTCCAGCTCCTCAGGGACACACCCACAAGCCAGGAGGAGCAGGCTTTTCCCAGCAGCTCCTCCCTCGTCCCCCCGGATCCCCCCAGGCTGGCCCACCTTGGCGTGAGCCTCCTGCTGCCGCACGAAGCTGTCGGCGGACAGGCGCAGCTTGGCCATGCGCGTGTCCCACGTGTCCTTCACCAGCGTCCGGATCTCGTCCGCCCTCGGGATGTTGTCAGAGGCACTGGGATGGAGAGCAGGGTCAGGGCAGGCTCTGAGGGGTGCGTGGTGTTGTCACAGAGTGGTGACACCCACCCAGGCGCTCGCAGGACGGTTTGCTAAAAACCTGCGGCTCCGCGCTAAAAGTTTTTTTCTCCAACCTAAAAAAATCCTCTGTGCTCCTTGTCCTGCTGGCATTGCTGGGATGGGCTCTTTCCCCAGGAATGCTCAGCTCCAACGCAGCAGCTGGCTGTCACTAGAATCCTTCTGCTCTTTAGTTGCCCAGCTGGTACCAGGCGCACAGAGGAGCCCAAACCTGGCCAAAGTCACGGCCAGCTGGGGAATCCATGGGCTCAGGCAGGATGAAATCCCCAGCTCGGGGCTCCCAGGGCTCCACCAGGGAGAACTAAGCTGGAAGGGCCGGATGGGATGTGCCACATCACCCCATTAAAGCCACTCAGCGCTGCCATAAGGAGCTGGGAGAGGCAATGGATGTGCAGGGACAGAGCTGTCAGGGCTGGGATGTGCCACATCACCCCATTAAAGCCACTCAGCGCTGCCATAAGGAGCTGGGAGAGGCAATGGATGCGCAGGGACAGAGCTGTCAGGGCTGCTGGAGCGTGCTGGGAAGGAGCAGCACGCCAGGAGCCTCCTCTCCAGAGGGAAAAGCCAGAGCTGGAATGCCCACCCTGCTTAATCGAGGGCTTAAAAAGTCAGCAGAGCCCTCGCTGAGACAAATACCAGCCAGCAGATTTTACAAGTGAAATGCCTCAGCAGGCAGGAGCTCAGGCTCGGAATATCCCCGGCCTCCTGCTTCCCAGGCTGAGGGAAGAGGAGCTTTCCTCCTGAAGGAGAGCCAAGGAAGAAGCCTGGAGGCTGGAGGCTGCTGAACAGATTGCAGCCGTGGAACGTGCTGCGGCTCCTCCAGGCCTCCACGCCGAGCTGCTGCTCAATAAAGCAGCACAGCCCCAATTATGAGGCCACAGAACGAGCCATCCCCAAGCTCCTGAGAGGCTGAGCTACCACGAGGGAAGTGCTGCTGCGAAATCTTGGCAGGCTGAGGGATAAAGCTCCCTCAACTCTCCCTCTCCCCACCGCCCTGCGGGGCTGCTGCCAAGCAAAGCTTGAAAAATCCTCCATGCTCACACCAAGTGGGGTGGAAAATGGCCCAGCTCAGCTCCTACTCACTAGTTCAGCAGCAGCTTGGTGAGCTCCATGTAGTAGGGACTGGGCATTGGGGTGAAGGTGTCCTCCTTCCGCTCCTGATCCCGGATTTCCTCCAGTTTCCCTAAAACACAACCAGGGACGCTCAGGTTTTGTGTGCTTCCCCCCTCTCTCCCCAGGGAAAACCCAAATTGTTTGTGCAGGATCAGCTCGGTGCCCAAGCCTCCAGGGATGTGAGGGCAGGAAAAGGCTCCAGTGAGGAGGCACACAAGGGACATGGATGCCTCCAAGGTCTCCCTCCTCACAGAGGTTTTCCCAAGAATCAGGGACAGGATGAGAGGAAACAGCCTCAAGTTTTGCCAGGGAGGTTCAGGTTGGACATCATTCCTGGACTGAAAGGGTGGTTAAACTCTGGAAGGGGCTGCCCAGGGAGGTCTGGAGTCCCCATCCCTGGAGGTGGCACTCAGTGGGCACAAGTTGGATTTGATGAGGCTGGAGGTCTTTTCCAACCTAAAAAATTCTGGGATTCTGTGACCCAAAGTCCCTAAAGCTTCTTCTGAGCAAGCCTGACCACCCTCAGAGTAAATAAAGAATTCCAGTGGTGGGACACGAGATCCTTCTGTCTCAGCTGCTTTGTGTTTTTGAATTATAACGGATTATTTTTAATTTCATGTTTCCACTGCACCCACTGAAGGCCAGAGCTAAAGGCAGAAGGCAGAGCCTCCATCCTCACCAACATCCATCCATTCTGGGGGAATGAGCCGACACTTCTGCCTCTGCTTCAGATTAATGGCCAGCCACACAGGCACTTCCACTGGCAAACCAGGATTGAAGGGACCCAGATCTCCCTGGAAAACAAATTAAGGATGAGAGGCGGGCTTGGACTGCACACAACTTGTCTGCTAATGTGGTGAGAGTTTCCAGAGGATTTGGAAAAGCCCGAGTCAAACATTTGATCCTGCATTTCCTCCTCCTGCTTCCCAGAATTCCTGCTCTCAGACTTTCCCTCATCTCCCTTGAGAAGGATTAACCAATTTTTTTCCTTTTATTCCAAGGTGTTCCACAGGAGTTACAAACTCCATCTCCCGGGACATGCTGCTCCCAGAGGTTCCCCAGGAGTTACAAATTCCCTGGACATGCAGCAGCCTCTGGGCTCACCCTGAGGCTTTCCAGAGGCTCCCCAGGTTCTGGCCAGCCCCAGGACAGCCGGACACTCCCAGCCAAGGCTCAGGGGCTGCACAAACCCCCAGAGGTGTGGGGGACAGCACAGCCCCCTCCCGAACCTCCTGGGGGCTGCCCTGCCCCTTCTCCCAACCCTCTGCCTTGCCATCCCTCATCCCAAATCCATGCCCCCAGCTCCTCCCTGTCCCAAACACCTCATCCATCCCAATGCCCCAGCTCCTCTCCTTCATCCCCAGCTCCTCTCCTTCATCCCCAGCTCCTCTCCTTCATCCCCAGCTCCTCTCCTTCATCCCCAGCTCCTCTCCTTCATCCCCAGCTCCTCTCCTTCATCCCCAGCTCCTCTCCTTCATCCCCAGCTCCTCTCCTTCATCCCCAGCTCCTCTCCTTCATCCCCAGCTCCTCTCCTTCATCCCCAGCTCCTCTCCTTCATCCCCAGCTCCTCTCCTTCATCCCCAGCTCCTCCCTGCTCCCAAACACCTCAGACCCATCCCAATGCCCCAGCTCCCCTCCCTCATCCCCAGCTCCTCTCCCTCATCCCCAGCTCCTCTCCTTCATCCCCAGCTCCTCTCCCTCACCCCCCAGCCCCTGCACCTCAACCCCACTCCCTTAAACCCCATTCCCCACACCTAACCCCTGCCCCAGCACGGGCAGACCCTGCCCTGCCCCACACTCGGTCTCGGCCACCCCAGGCCGCGTCCCCAAGGCCTCAGGCCGGCCCCGGCCCCCGCAGCCCAGCCCAGGCCCCGCCGACCCCGATGAGGTGAATCCGGTCGAGGCTGAAGTTGGGCACGATGGTCACCAGCTCCTTCTCGGCCAGGAACTCCACCTCGGCCGGCTCCATGGACGCGGGGCAGCCGAACCGGGATCGCACCGGGATCGGGCTGGGATCAGGCCGGGATCGAACCCGCGCCGCAGCGGGGCCGAGCCCGCCCTCGCTCCCTATTGGCTGTGCAGCCCCCAGGCCCCGCCCACCGCTTCCCGCTCCTGCCGCCCGGCGCGTTTTCGCGGTCTTCAGTGGAGGCGGGGCCTGGCGTGGCGCGGCGCACGCTGATTGGCTGTCCCCTACTGTTGCCGTAGCGCACGCCTCTCTGATTGGCTGTCCTGCGCGCGGCGCGCTCTGGCCGCTGCCCCGCCGGGGGAGGTCCGGATGGGGGCACGGGACCAATCGCGGCGCTCCCCGCGGGCGCTCGGCCAATCAGCGCTCGGCACTTGTTGCCGGGGCGCCGAGGGAGTGGCGGCGGCAGCTACTGCCGCCCCCTGGCGGCCGAGAGCGGCAGCGCCCCGCGGGAACGCGCGAGGGAACCCCGCGACCCCCGGGCTGTGAGGGGTGACACCGCATGTGATAGTGACACAGACCACCCCTCCATCCATCCATCATCCATCCATCATCCATCCATCCATCCATCCATCCATCCATCCATCCATCCATCATCCATCCATCCATCCATCCATCCATCATCCATCCATCCATCCATCCATCCATCCATCATCCATCATCCATCCATCCATCCATCATCCATCCATCCATCCATCATCCATCCATCCATCCATCCATCATGCATCCATCCATCCATCATCCATCCCCCGTCCCCACACCCAGCTCACCCAAGTGGTTTCTGGATGATTTGGGACTCCCCAAACCACCTCGGGCCCAGCCCTGGGACCACCCACGGATCATCCAGGACCCTTGGGATGAGCGTCACCCCCAGCCTGGGGTGGGAGCCAACCCCTGGGGACCCCCACCACGGGTGGCACCAGGAGGGTCCCCGAGCCCCCGTTCCCGGTGCCGCCGGCGCGTGCCGGGCGCTCCGGGAGCGTCTCCCCCGCGCTGCGCCTCCTCTCGCGTGTCTTTTGCCATCTGCTGCTGTCATTAAAAAATTACATTTCCATCTGCTTTCACACTCCCGCCTCTCCCGCCGGCTCCGGGCGCCGCCGCTCCCCGGGAAGCGTCGCCCCCGGCTCCGCGCCGGGATGCGGCCGATCCGCGGGGTGCAGGTGATGGCGCCGAGTTCATTTTCCCGCTGCTGTTTGCTGAAATGGACTCTCCAATCCCTCCTGGAGGGGTGTGGACCCCACTTTTGGCCCCCCACGGGCACGGAGGGGGTGGTGCTGGCGTGTTTTGGGGTGCACAACCCACCCCCCCACCCCCGTGCTGACACAGCCAAGTTTGGGGTGCGGATCCCCAGGGTTTTATTCACCGTGGGGGGATCCCCTCCCCGGCGCTGTCAGGAAAAGGGACAAACCCCAATCCCTGGTGTCCAAACCCACCCGTGTGGGTGCCCCGTGTGTCCCTGGCAGCTGCAGCATCGCCCTGGGGGCTGTGGCTCCATCCTGACATCCTGGTGTCCCCCGTGTCCCCTCTCAGCACGGGCTGCAGGGTGAGGGGCCCTCCCCACGCCGGGACAGCGTGGTGCCCGTGGGCGTGGGGGGTGTGACGATGATGGAGGGCACGTGCAGGTGCTTCTGTCCCGGGGTCGGGGTCCCGTCGCTGCCGTTCCCGCTGCTCACACACATCTTCAGGCCTGGGGAAATTTGGGGAACAAGAAGAGATCAGGCACGGGGCTGCAGCATCTCCCCGCCCTCCTCCGTGTCAGCCCTTTGTGAGCCAGTGGAGAATCCACAGCATCCTCACACCTCCATCCACCTCGGATTTTGGGGGGGTTCCAGAGGGGGGTCCCCTCCTCCCTCGACCACCTGCCCAGCCCACCCTCCCTGAGGGGAGCAGATCGCTTTAATCTGCTTTTTTAATCAGGAGAAAAGCCCCGTGCGGCACAGGCGGCATCCAGGGAGGTTTCAGCTCTTCCCAAGCAAGAAAATGCCCGGAGGGGACAGACACTGATATTTTTAATCTCTTTTTAATTAAGGATAAAGCCCTGCCTTATGTAAGGGAGCTGGAAAAGGGGGAGGGTCTTTTGTTTTATTCCAGGCTCCAAGCTCATCAGAGGGGTCTGGAAGCATGGGGGAATATTTTGGGGCTTTGTCCTGGATTTGGGGCAGGATTGGGATTCCCTGGCTGCTTGCTTCCCCTCTTCAGTTATCCCTTGTCGGACAGAGGGGGTTGTGAGACCCCAAACCCCCCTGACCACTCCCTCCCAATATCCCTGATGCAGAGAGGAGGCAGAGCTTATTTTTGGGTGATGCATCCAACTCTGTGCCCATCACAATGAGAATCCCCGAGAATCTGGGCTTGGGAAAAGCCAGGGAAGAGGCAGCCCTGCATCCTGCAGAGGGATCCTCATTAAGCCCCATCCCTAACGACCCCAAGGACGATTAGCAGGAGTCAGAGGGATGCAGAGCTAATGGGAGATGCCATATCCAGCCCTGGCCCTGCGAGGCCGGCAGCACTAAAAGCTTTGCCCCTGTGCAGACATCCCTGACGCCATTCCCAGCCTAAATCCATTAAGAAAATTCAAGTTGGGGAAGAAGCTCCTGGTTGGAGTATCCCTGGGGAGAGGGGAGCAGTGAGGGATGCTTGGGGCCAGCCTGGATTGGGCTGAGCCCTGCATCCCACCCACGTGTCCCTGAGCAGCCCTTTCCTCCTCCGAGGAAACCCATCTGATTTATCCAGGGCTGCCCTTAACCCATGGATTCTCCAGAACAAAGGGTGTAGGACAAGCACAGGACTGGGAAAATAAAGCTGGGAAAAATAAAGCTGGCAAAATAAATCTGGCAAAATCCTCTTTGGGGCGATCCAGGCGCAACAGGTCACCTGTGGGACTCCAGAAATTCCACCACATTCCCAAACTCCACTGAAACTGCCCACACCTAAACTTCCCCTGGGTACAACCACCCCCCAGGAGCCTTCAGGGACCCCAGACCCCCACCCCAAGCTCACCTTTCAGGCAGGATAACTTGAGCCCCATGTTTTCATCCTCTCAGCGGGACGCAGCTCTCCAGCCCCGCCGCCGGCCCTCGCCGCTGGGGAAGAGAGGAGAGGGCTGAGGCAAACCACCCTGGGGGGAGGAAGGAGCAGGAGCTGAAAGCTCACATCTCTCCCTGCGTGTCTGTGTCTACAGGAGCCACAGGAAACGCGGCTGCTCGCTCACAAAACCACCGGTGATGTCACGGCACTCGGGTGACTCAATCGGGCCCGATGAGGTCCAGCAAGAACTTTTTGGGAGGGTGGAGAAGGAGCCTGGTGCTGGGTGCTGGTCCCATCCCAGCTTCTCCATCCCTGGGCTGAGAATATTTCAGGGTGAGAAGGTTGGGAGCAGGAGAATCTGGGCTGGTTTTAGGCTGGTTCTTGCAGAGAAAGCCCCGAGCCCACCCAGGGGAAACAGAGGGATGATCCCAGAGCTGCCTCCCAGGGCTGAGCCAGAGCAGTGCTGGAATTCACATCATCCTGCTCCTCTTGGGCATCCCCGATGTCCCCACTGCTTTTGGATGGATAATTCCCACTGTGGGACACCATTTTTTCAAGGTGCTGACAATTTTTCTGCTAAAAAAGTCCCTTTATTGGGAAATCCTCCCCCTCCTCCCACAGCTGCTGGGAAAAGCTCATTGGGATGAGGGTCAGTGACTCATTTTGGCTCTTCCAAGCTCTGGGCCACACAGAGAGCCAAGGAAAGCCTCTGCCCCCCCTGCCTGACCTCTGCCTTTCCAAGAAGCCCTGAGGTGGGTCGGCAGCAGCCAGCAAGGGGAAGTGAAAATTTGCTAGCTCTGCTTTTAATTCTGTATTTTTATCAGTTCCCCAGGTGCAGCCTGAGCTGGGAGCTCCCCCAGGGCTGGGGAGTGGAGTCCTCCCCAGGACCTCACTTTGCAGCTCTCCTGGAGGCTGCCCAAGTGTCAAGAAATCTGTTCTGAGGCAAATCCTGTGGGTTTTGGCACCTGCTGGTGGCTCACACCACTCGGGGACAGAGCAGGGTCATGCTGGGGACACCCAGCTCTGGGCACAGGGGGTCTCCTCTGGAATCTCATCCTCTAGGATCTGATCCTCTGGGGTCTGATCCTCTGGAATCTCATCCTCTGGGATCTGATTTTCTGGGATCTGATCCTCTTCAATCTCATCCTCTGGGATCTGATCCTCTGAGATCTCATCCTCTGGGATCTGATCTTCTGGGATCTGATCCTCTTCAGTCTCATCCTCTGGGATCTGATTTTCTGGGATCTGATCCTCTGGAATCTCATCCTCTGGATCTCCCCCTGTGGCCAAACCCTTGCAGAGGACACAGCAGCCCCCTCCCCATGAACAAGGGCCAGATTCCAGCTCCAGAATTTGGGGGAACTCCCCCTGCCAGCATTCCAGCGCGATTCCTGCTGCTGGGGCTCCAACTTCGCTGCCGTGTGCCAGCACCAGGCCAAGGAAATATTCACATCCCGACGAGTCCACGCTCCAAAAAAACCCAGACACTCATGGCAGGCGTCACTGGAGCTGCCCGGCCAGGGTGGGGAACACTCAGGGGCTGCACTGGGAAGGGGGAAAGGGACAAAGCCGAGGGGGTGGCACTTACCCGGTGCCCGGAGGGGCGATGCCCGCGGTCCATGCCACCCTCCCCGCGCCGCCGGCCGCTCCCGGGTGCCGGAGGCTGGCACGGGCGATCCCCGGGGAGGAGGGCGGCAGGAGGAGGCAGCCGGCCGGCTTCGGGCTCGGCGGGGTTGGTTGGGAACCTGGTGAATGAGGTGAGCGGCTCCTCCCATCCAGCCCCCGCTGCCAGCCCAGCCGTGCCCGGTGGGTGACGGGGAAGCGCTGCTTTGCTCCCAGCCCGCTGCACAGGGCGGTCCAGAGCCAGAGAGAGGGAGAGGAAGGAGTGCCCTGGGCTGCCGGCAAAGCCCCCGGGCATCCAACATCCCCACAAGCAGCCTGAGGGCTACCAAGTGCCCCAAAGGGCCAGTGAGTGTCCGCACCACCCCAGGCATCCCCGAGGTCCTGATGTCAAGGACATTCCCCCAGAAAACTGACAAATTAATCGGTTTATGTGGATTTTTCCCCTGTTCAGCTACAAAGTCTAAGACTTAGAGACGAGTCCTGAGGCAGAGCCTGGCAAAGCTGATCTTTCAAGATCCCATCCCAAACTCAGAGCAGCAGCATCCCATGGAGCCGGGGGTTGCTCCCTGGCAGCAGAAATCAGAGCAGCACAAGACACCAACTCTGGGGGCAGCTCCACCTTCGCCAGCTCCCAGGAAGGCTCTTTTCCCCTTGCCAGCCCCACGGCCAGCCTGGCAGCGGGAAGGGCACCAGTGGATCCTCACCATTCCCAGGATGAGCGCTCCGGCTCGGAGATGCCCGGGGGAAGGCTGTGCCCACGGAGCAGCCGCTCTCTCTGCATTAGCAGCAGCAGCAGGAGGCTTTTCCATGTTCCCCCTCCTCCTGAATGAAGAGGCGAGGCCCCGAGCTTTTCAGGCTGCTTTTCAGGCTGGGTGAAAAGCAGAGGCTCAAATGTGGGGCGCGGGGAACGCCGGCAGCACATTAAACACCCCCGGCGGTGGCAGGCAGGGTGGGAGGGAAGGGAAGGGAAGGGAAGGGAAGCTTGGAACTTCACCCGGGATCCCGGCAGTGGGAGGCAGGGTGGGAGGGAAGGGAAGGGAAGCTTGGAACTTCACCCGGGATCAGCAGAGAGCCGATGCCAGCTCTTTGGGAGGGCTGTGGTGGGATCAGAGCCCGGCTGGGATGGGCACGAAGGGCAGCAGGGAGAGCAAACGGGGGGGTCTGCTCCACTTTCTGCTGGTTTGGTCCTGCCATGTCTGATGAAAGTCAGAAACCTGGGAAGAGCTGATTTCCTTCCCGATCTGACTCCTCTGATTTGTCAAATAACTGAGTTATGCAGAGCTCCAGGAGAGGGGAGGGTGGCACAGGGCAAGGCTGCAGCTCCAGCTGTGGGCATAGTCCTGGGCAGAAACATTTGCAACCCACAGCTCCCTTTATTCCTCCCAGAAAACTGACAAATTAATCTGTTTATGTGGATTTTTTCCCCTGTTCAGCTACAAAGTCTAAGACTTAGAGACGAGTCCTGAGGCAGAGCCTGGCAAAGCTGATCTTTCAAGATCCCATCCCAAACTCAGCATCCCATGGAGCCAGGGGTTGCTCCCTGGCAGCAGAAATCAGAGCAGCACAAATCCTGCCTCCACCCTGAGCTGTTTTACTGCCTGTCTCCAAAACTACCTGTTTGCTGCTGCTGGGTGAGAACAAACAGCCCCAAACCCACCAGGGCTGGAATTAGCCCGGCCTGGAGCAGCAGTTGTTGCTACAACAGTGACAAAAAGCGATTGTCTTGCTGCAGCAGGGATGGGAAACATAAACAGCAGGCTGCTGAAATACCTGTGGTTAGTTCTGCGGGTGCAGCACAGCTCCAGCTGCTCTGCTGACACCTGATAGGCACAAACACAGCGTCAAACACCCCTTCCTGTCCTCCCCAGGGCTGGTGAACGAACAAAAACCTTTGTGAAGGTTTAAAAAGTGGGGGTTGTCCACCTCGAGGTGACTGGGAGTGGCCTGGAGCCCCTCTGGTGTCTGGTCCCTGCTGGGTGAGCTGAGTGCCAGGAACAGGAGCAGCCCAGTGGGCTCCACACCCCATTCCAGGGTCACAGCCCTTCCAGGTGTCCTGGCTCCTGTCACAAGGCTCTGAGCTGTGGCTTGCTGAGCATCACAGCAGGCCCAGGGGCCAAAGCCCACCAGGAGGCAGCTGGCCAGGGGAGGAAGAGGGTGGGCTTGGGGGGTGGGTGGGTTTTGTCCTTGCAGAGCTGCCAGAGCCCGGCTGTCCCCTGAGGTGGCCACGGGCTGGTTTCCAGTCCTGCCTGTGTCCCTTTGGAACTGGGCTGCTCCTCTCCCGCTGCTTCCCAACACTCCTGCTCCATCCTGGCCCGGGGCTGGAGCCCTGCTGAGGGGTGAGGATGGAGGGCAGCATCCCAGATTCCCTCTGGGGGAAGGGCAGGGAGAGCTGCTGCTTCCCAGGCGCCAGAGGAACCGCAGGGACAAGGGACGCGTTGTGCAAACGCTGGCCACAAGAAAAGCTTTGGCTGGAGAGCCCGGAGCAGCTCTGCTGGCTGCCTTCAGGAGCTGCTCCTGCAAACACCAGCTGGGCTCCCCTTCCAGCAGCGAGGGGGAGGAAGCAGTTTCTGGGTCACAGAGTGGCAGGGTCTGCTAACGCAGGTGACACGTCACCCTGGCTCCGTGCTAACGAGGCCACCTGTCCCCTCCTGCCCCCGGCCCTTCTGGCCTGAGCAGGGGAAAGGGCTGCTCCCAGCCTGGCTCTGGAGCTGCCCCAGAAAGGGGCTTGCTGGAGCTGGAAGTGGCAACCAGTGCTGGGAGCGGAGGAGAAACTCCCGGAGATCCAGAGTCACCAGGGCTGGCACCCGTGGGGAGGGAGGGAGGGAGGAGGATGTCACGAGGAGGCAGCTGAAGATGCAGGCTCCGGGGGAACTGGAGCAGCTCCAGCATTCCCCAAACACGGGCTCTTGGCAGGAGCAGCAGAGCAAGACAGCGGCAGGAACCGCGTGGAGAAAATCCAGCGGGATGGGGCAGGAGCTGCTGCAGAGGGGTCGGGAGGGAAGGGGGGAGCGAGCACCTACCTGAGGCACAGAGCTCCTGAGGCACAGAGCTGCTGAGGCACAGAGCTCCTGCATCCAGAACAAGGCACCTCTCCCCCGGCATGGATTCAGCCGGGAGCCCACGGCCGGGAATTGGCTCAGGGAGCTGGCCACGGCCGCCGCGCTTCCCGGCTCGCTGAGCTCCAGGTTAATCTGGGCCCAGCTTTCCCTTTTATCCCCTGCTGCTACAACCTCGATAGAGTTTTTCAATTAGGTCCATCTTTTAAGCTCCAGGGTGCATTTCTAGGAAGGGCGGCGGCGTTTCGCCCGGCCTTGGCGGGCTGGGCTGGCTGTGCGCAGAGCGGGCCATGCCTGGCACGGATCCTGCCCGCATCCCGCCGGAGTGCTGCAGCCAGAGCAGCCTGGGAGCACTCCTGGAGTGAGCCCTGAGCCCCAGCACACCTACCGGCTGTTCCTAAGAGCAGAGTTCCCTGCTTCCCTCATCCCAGCTCCGGCAGGCTGGAAGTGCCACACGCAGGAGCGCTGTCCCCCCTGCCAGCCCCCCGTGCGTCCTCTCCGAATCTGCCTCTGGAAACCAAGAGGAAGGGAAGCAGCTGGGGTGGACTTTCGAAGGAGAAGGCTGGGTGAAAATGTGGTCTAAAAGCGACAGTGAAAAAAAATAAAAAAGGGAAATCGATAAAGCCCTCAGCGGCTCCTTGGGCACACAGAAAGCGCTGCCGGCTGCGGGAGGGCTGGCTCAGGGCGCTGGGGGAGGCGAGGAGGGGGCTGTGCTGCTGGACTGGGATGTGTGGAGGTGTTCAAACCCAGCTGGGAATAGCAGAGCCTGGGCAGGATGGGAGGGGAGCAGCCCAAGAGGGACCAGCTCGCGTGGGTGCCCCAGCTCGGCTCCAGGAGATGAATTCCACCCAAACGAGAAGCAGAGCTCACAGACCGAGCACATTTCCCCTCGAGGCCATTCTCCAGGCTGCACTCAGCCGCAAGCCCACCCCGCTAACAGCCTCCTCCATTAGCATCAGCCCGGCTCTCCCTGGCAGTGCCCTCCTCCAGCTCGATTAGGCCGGGAGCCAGGGAGAGAGAGACCGGGCACTGCTTCCTGCATCTGTCACTGTCACCTCTCCTCCTCTGCCACTCGCCAGAGGAATTCCTGGGGGCAGGGGGCCGCCCCTCACGGCTGGGGTGGGCTCTGCACATCTGTCTGCTTCTGGCTCCAGCTGTGCCAGGTGATCTCTGAACCGCTCACCTGCTCCCGCATCAGCTCCACGAGCTGGAGCTGGAACATCTCTGCTGGCTTTCCTCGGGGAGGGAACATCCCAGGAGCAGATGGGAAGAGGGAAAATGCCAGCAGCAGGCTGCTTCGCTTGGTGGATGGGGAAAAAACTTCCCCAAATCCTCGTATGGGCACACAGAGTGATGAGCTCAGGGAGAATGTGGGACCTGGCATTCCCTGGGAGCAGGGACCTCACTTTGAGTGCTCCAGGAACAGCTGGTCAGGGATTCCCTGGCTCCTGTCACCCCTCTGCTTGTGGAATGTTTGTCACTGTTCTGGAAAATCGGGTTGAGTGGGGAAAAGAGAATCCCACAGGCTGGGAGAGCTGGGGGTGCTCACCTGGAGAGGAGAAGGCTCCAGGGAGAGCTCAGAGCCCTGCCAGGGCCTGAAGGGGCTCCAGGAGAGCTGCAGAGGGACTGGGGACAAGGGATGGAGGGACAGGACACAGGGAATGGCTCCCACTGCCACAGAGGGGATTTAGATTGGATTTTGGTAAGGAATTGTTCCCTGGAGGGTGCTGAGGCCCTGGCACAGGTGCCCAGAGCAGCTGTGGCTGCCCCTGGATCCCTGGAAGTGCCCAAGGCCAGGCTGGACAGGGCTGGGAGCAGCCTGAGACAGTGGAAGGAGTCCCTGCCCATGGCAGAGGGTGCAATGGGATGATTTTGAGATCTTTTCCCACCCAAACCATTCATGGATTCTTTTTTCCAAATGCTTCAGGTCGTGTGGATGAGGTAAAAAGTTGGGACTTAAAAAAAAACATCTGGGCAGGCAAATGCCAAATCTCCAAATTTTGGTGGATAGGGAGAAAAAAGTTAATCCTGGAAGTCATTAATTGCTAACAAACCAAAATGAGTAGGACACACATTTCCAGTGCTGCCCTCCCAGATCTCAGCAAGAGATGCCTTCCCCAAGATTTCCTCCCCCTGAAGTTTTAAAAGGAATTACCTGGAATTCCTGCCCTGAATCCAGCAGATCAACCAGCCAGGAAAGCAGCATTTGCTCCGGGCACATCAGCAGGAAAGGGAACACAGCCTTCCCTGAGCCCTGCAGCTTCCTCATTCTTCCAGGAGAGCCTGGATTTATGGAATTGCTGCTTTTGTCCAGCCTTCAATGCAAATAGGCCACGGGAGATAAGATCTGCAGGTTTGTCCTCTTTGCTTAAAGCCAGCCTGAGCTTCTGCTAGTGGCAAAAAATCCCCATTTGAAAGCAAAGAGAAGATTAAAAAGGGGGAAGACAAAGCACTAAAAGCTGCTCCCCTTCCAGCAGCGTGTCCCAGGTTAGTCACAGGGAATATTCCAGCAGGTTACACACTGAGGAGACAAACTGCCTAACAGGGGGAGCAGGATTAGCCTGAATTTGCATATTTATGATCAAAGCTTGATTAGGAGATGCTGTTACAAAGAACAAGAAACACATTTCCTGTGGCTCAGGAGACTCAGCAGCTCCTTCTGACAACCCCAGAGAGGAATCTGGCAAAGATAAAGATCTGCCTCAGGAACAATACCTTGGATTTCACTGGGCGTTTGTACAAAGTCCTCTTCCTGCAGCCTGGGTGCTCTGCATTCTGCTCCAGGGATATCTTTTCCTACAGATACAGAGTGCAGCAGCCACTGGGATGTGTTATCTGGCTGGTTTGGGGAGCTAAATACATGTTTTCAGTCAACAAGTGAAAACATTTCCCTCTCCTGCAAGGCTGACTCAGCCTAGGGAAGGTTCTTGACTCGGTGCCAACCTCTTTGGTAATCACACCTCACCCGGTGCCAACCTCTTTGGTAATCACACCTCACCCGTGCACAGCAGGGAGATAAAAACCAAAGTGCCCAAAGCTTCCTCTCCTCCCTCCCACCTCACCCCGTGGCCCTGGGGAATCTCACCTGGAGGGAACTCCACGGCCTGGGGGCATCCAGGGTCCATTCCCTGCTGCAAATGGGATTTCAGCCTTGCCCCATCCCTCCCCAAGACCAGGAGTAGAACTTGGGCTTACTGACTCAAAATTGAGAGGTTCTGACAATTCCATTTTGAAGCAAGCCCAGGTTGGATGGGGCTTGGAGAACCTGCTCTTGGGGAAGGTGTCCCTGCTGTGAAATGAGATGATCTCTCAGACCCTTCCAACCCAAACTTTGCTGATTTTAACACTAAGATTTGAGACAGGCAGACGTTTTGTGGATATTTGGATCTTCCTTGGAACAACATTTCTGGGCAGGAGGAGAAGGAAATCTGGAGGAATTGTGGCAGGCTGAGGCTGTGTTTAACTACAGCTAGGAGAGAGGCAACAAAGAGCTCTTCTAGGCTGGTATAAGGCTGCATTGTCCAGGAAACTTATTGTAAATAAATATTAATGGAAAATGAACTAGGCTGTTCCCCGACCCCCTGATTCCATGTACTTGGATCACGGGGAAAATGAGATCTGCTGATTAACTACCCCCCAAAAATGCACAAAATTAATACAGTATTTCACTACTGTAGACTCCAACTGCAGATTCAAACTCAGTAGTGTGCTTCCAGTCCTTTTTATAAATCATTTACTTTGGGTTTAACACATTCAAGCAGTAACTGTGCTTGCCAAGCCCACGGAGAGCAGGAATCACCAGATTATTTGGAAATACTGCTTTAAAACTCTCTGTCATGCTAAAGCACTGCAAAACAGGTGACACATGAGCATGGAACATCCTCAGCAGTTTGCATTTTACTGTGCCAAGAGAGTTACAATTGCAACCCAGGCCAGAAGAAACCATTCACCTCCCATTTGATCTATTTGCCCTTAAAATCTCTCACCTGAGGACAGGATTGCTTTTTTTTTTTTTTTTGGAAAGGTATTTCCAGAAATCATTAAAAAGTAACCTCTCTAAAGATTAGAAAAGCTGAAGTCAAAACTTTGGAATAGGAACAGTGAGGGCCAAGCAGAAGCAGTTCTGGTTTCCAAGGAATAGCAACATTCACTACAAGTGGGATGGTGTCCACGAGGACAGCTGGAAGTGACAGCTGGCAGCTCTTCCAGGGAATGTCACCACCAACATTCCGTGGCTTTACGGACACAGCACCGCGCCACGGGACAGGCCACTCCTCTTTAATCAGTCAGCTTTCCACACAAGGTACTGAATATGAACTCTATTTACATTCAAAAATAGCATTTTTCTCTCTTCAGTACAGAGTGGGAATGCCCATGGATCGGTGAGGAGGATCCCTCCTAGCAGAGGTGCAGCACAGCTTTGTTGATCTCCGGGTTTGTCCAGTCGTTGCGGATGTCGTCCAGGTGATTATCGAAATCCACCAGGGTCTCGTAGGACTTGCTGTCCAGCAGGGAGGCAGCGATCCGCTGCGCTTCCGTCCAGTCCTCACAGAAGTCACTAGGATGGGAAAGAACCAGGCATCAGTCGGAATCTGCTGGAATCCTGCATGCTGGGAATTTTAAACTTTCTGTGCTGACAAGAGAGCACTGCATTTGACCTGAGGCCGTGGGACAGGATTCCAAAATTGATTGATAGCACTGGGATTATGGGTGTGGAGCTGGTTATATTACAGGGTAGAAAACTTAAAAGTTTGGGGTTTTAGAATATAAAAATAAATATGAAGAAAGATGGAGGTTTTAGGGCGGAGGCTGGCTGTTTTTCTTTACCTTCCTCTTCCTTCTTCTCCATGGGTTTGGGTGATGTTTTGTAATTGGACAGGGAAGTCCACATTGTGGGCTCTTTGGGATCAGTTAGTGGGTTAAAAGGGAAAACAATCTAGGTGTCCTTTCTTAATTGGATAATTTAGTCTTAAAAGACCTTGTAACAAGAGATTGTTAGCCATTTTGTGCCTTTTAATGAAAGGCTGCAGAACTCACAGTAGTGAGACTGTTTCACTGATAGATAATAAACACCTGAGTCCCAATGTGAACTACTGTCTCAAGTGCCTTCACTCCAGCCCAGAGAAACAGACAGGAACCACCTCAGAGAAACTCTGAATGCAGAGTCCTCCCAGGGACTGCCTGGTTTTCCCCAAAGCCCGTGGAATTCCTGGCTCACTCACACGTGGGGGTCCTTGCACCTCCACTTGTTCTCATGCAGCTCGTACACGTGGATGGCAGGCTCCACACACTCCATGGTGAACTTGGTGTTGTCAACCTGGGGTGGGACATGGAAACACCACCTCAGTCTCCTCCTCAGCATCCCAAGAGAGGAAATAAACCCCAAATCAGTTTGTAAAAACAGAGTATTCTACACCTACCCACTGTTTTACCCTCAAACTGACCCATGTAAGCTGCCAATGTCCTTTGTCACAGCAGTGAGGAGGAAAAGCCCAGTTTGGGACATTAAATATAAGAATTTAAGTTGCAGGAGGTGGGCTGGAGCAATAAATTGCTGCCTGAACATGTAGAGAAAGCCTCCAGTTCTTCTGAGGTGGCAGAGAGCTCACCACAGCCTCTCTGTGGATTTACACTGTACCTCACTGCTCGTTGCATTTCTCCCCCAGAGCATTTTGGAGGGGAAGAGAAACTGAACTCCTCACGAAAGCAGCCAGAGAACAGCATTTCCCTGGCCCAGCAGCAGGCTCAGGACACACAGGGGGCTGAGGGGAAGGAAGTTCTTTACCATGATGAGCGCAGTGTCCGTGAAACCCTCGGCAATCCGGGAGGCCACCTTCTCTGCAACCTGGTTTGGGCTGGAGCAGAAAGGAAAAGGAACTGAGTGGTGGGAGCCACAGGTTTCAGCTGAAAGCAGCAGGAAATGAGCTCAGAGAGATGTGAGAGTGACTCTGGGTGCTTGCAAACAGGAACAAGATAAAGGAGCTGATGCCACAGCTGATAGAAGGCTCTGCAGCACCTGAACTGGAGCTCAGCTGCCTTTAGGAATGGCTTTGGAATGACATGGAATCAACATTTGGTGGCCTCCTGTCTTCTTCCCCCAGATCAAAGACTCTGTCCTGGCAGGCATTTAAAAAAGAAACTGAGTTTTCTCCCCAGTCTGCACTGAAATCAGATAACCTGTGACACCCTTTACGTTTCAAAGGTGACAATCTCTATGTGGTGCCACTTAATGTGGAGCCATTGACAATCTCTGTGTGGTGCTAAAAGAAACTGAGTTTCCTCCCCAGTCTGCACTGAATTCGATAACCTGTGACAAACTTTACCACGTTTCAAAGGTGACAATCTCTATGTGGTGCCACTTAATGTGGAGCCATTGACAATCTCTGTGTGGTGCCAGTTATCTTCAGAAATCAAACTGAACTTTCGAAAAACCATCAAGCCTGTGATATTCTTTCAAACCTCAAAGAGAAAAAACTGTAACTTCTCCTCAAAAATGTGTTCAGCAGATTTATAAGGAAAGGACAAATAATGCTTTTATCCTTAGAAGTCACGA